GCAAATAAGATTTTATTTTAAAATATATGTTAAATTTAGGCAAAATGAACTAATTGAAAGCATGGGATATGTAGAAATGCAGTATACTTAAAAGGACAATACTGTGCAAGCAAAAGGTGTATGTGCGGTTGTTAAGAAATGTCGAGGGAAAACAAATTTGTTGAATCAGTATTATTGAAAACAACTGTTTAGGAAAGCAATGGATAACACAATATGCCCTTTGAGGGAATTTCCTTTGGACGTAGTGAGAACAGCGTCTTTGTTGAGGATGAGAAGCAATACAGTTTCCGAAAATAGAACGCATTTGGGTGGACAATGTGGCAAGAGCGATGAAACATTTCAGGCTGAGTTGGCCGTCCCGATTAGAACAGGAGGAGAGAGATACACACGAAAGATACGGGCGTCACAATACGCGGCCTTGGCAGGACGTCGCCTTGACAGCAAGAGGAATCAGAAGGACTTTGGGCGATGGTAGAGAAGGTTCCGAGCAATCAATATGAGGAGAGAAAACGCCAAATCATGCGATTTCAAGGTTAAGCAGAAGTTGAAGTAGTGTAAAAATGTATGTGAATAAGGAAAGGGGAAGAAATACGGAGAGAGACTAGAGATATTTATGTGGTTACTTGTAATTGTGTTTCTTGTCTCAGCGAAAAATGTAATAGAGAGACCGTATTGTCTCGTTTGGTAAGAAAGTAGATTCTATCTATATATAACCAAAGGTTTATATACACCAATGAAGATAGAGGAAATTTACGCTTTGGGGGATACTCTATAGGAAAATGGTAGATTGAAGTGTGGGTAAGTAGATATGAGAGAAACGGCAGAGGGTAAAATTAGGTAGGGGGAGAAAGACATACGGGACGCATGGTTAAAGCAAGTGCTGTAACCGACGAATAGCGTTTTGATAATGCGTCAAGTTGCAACTGTTTTCTGAAACGCTGGAAGTGTTCATAAAAAACATCAGGAAAAAGGTAATTGAAGTGGAGAGTTGATCGAGGGACACGGGAGGGGGATTGTGGAGGTGGGGGAGGTGGCCTACAGTGGGTGTGGGTAGGCATATACGTGGAGGGTGGGCGTAGCTGCTAGTGATCCTACGCGGCGTATGGGGCGAATGTTGGGCTAGCGGACGGGCCGTGCTGGGCGGGTGGGCGGGGTCGGGGAGTCGGCGCGGAGGCCGAGAGCCGTGGATGTGGAACGGAGATTGCGGCGGCTGCTGGGCCGCGGGCCGCGCGGATCGAAAGCGACAGGATGACTTAGACGAGGGGACTGCATACGAAGGAGCGCGGCGCCCCGAAAGCCCCTTTCGAAAATTTGAGGCTTATTCGGGCGCGGCGGAGCCGCGCCGCTGCTCTTCCCGAGCTGTATTTTTGCGAGGCGAGGCCCGGGAGACAAAATAAGGCCAAATGGATGGCGACGTCTCGGAGCAGATTGGCCGATAGCGAATCGGTGGAGGCGAAGACTCGAGAAAACGCGAAGAAAGGAAGTAAAGGAGGGTGGAAATTCAATTTACTTACATGGGAAAACTTATGCTTAATTAAAATAATTGAATAATTTAATTTCAAGTTTATAGTATGAGCTTTTGTCAAGCGCATTTGATGATTAGTATTCCATTTATAATAAATTTGAAATATTTAGGTAAATTAAGTTGAAGTATTCACTCTACAAATTAATATAAGTGATGCAAATATGGGCAGAGGAGGTAATATGTACAAGTAGAGGCTATGGTATTAACTTAAGCTATTTCCTATTGCTTGCGCTTGCAAGCAGCCTGGGAGAGTATAAGAAGTGCGTTAACTCCCTATCAGTCTTGTTGATTCGCGCACTCTGGAGCTCTTATTGTCAAGAACGCGTTGAAGGCGCTCTGTCCTCATAACTTCTTATATACTTCTTATAAACTCTCGCGCTATTGTTTTCAAATATTTTCGCTTTATTTCAGGCCGAATTTTTGTAAGAATAGACTATAATAATGCAATTTACATTACATATTAGTATAACTAGCCCTAGTTCCATGGTCATGCTACAAGAAACAAGATAATTTGGCAATGGCTATAAACCCTGCATGTGGGCATATTACCTTCAAATTACAATGTTTTTGTAAAATAACAACAAAATATTTCTAAATCAATTTTTTATGATATAGATATTTCAAGTTGAAGCAAAAGTGTTAAATTTCATCATGATGCATTTAATTTGGCCAAATGTTGAAATATATAAACAGCAAAAAATGAGGCGCTTAACGTGGCCATATTACCTTCACATACCTTATTATATTCTGCATACTCATACCATGTATTTTATTTACAAAATTATCCTGAAAATAGTGAAAAAGAACATCGATCTTTGCCTGTGTCTCTCTTTAGAAAATATGTAAATTCAATATGCATGGACGATTTCTTATTGTCAGATTCTTTTCCGATATTTTTTGAAAACTCTGCCGCAGTGTTCCGAAAAAAATAAGATCAGAACTGTACACACAACTTTATAAGGGGAGAAATATAAATTATGATCTATTTGTTTTGCAAGGTCGGGAGAGATTTCTGAAAGCAAACACGCGGATACTGAAATACGTGCGGAGGGGAGCATGAGCAAACGGGATGATAAGGATTATAAACACGAAAGATGGAAAGGGGAAAGATAAAAAATGTAAACGACTAGCCGAGAAGTGTTGCGTCGCGTGGAGCGGTGTTTGGACGGGGGAATGAGACATTGCGTCTTTTTGGCGTGCGCACCCGGCGTTGGAGGAGGGCAATTCCAAGACGCTCAGCCAGTGCTCGTCAGTTGAAGAAGAGGTGTGCCTGACATTCATCGATATCCCTAGATATACGAGAACTGATTTCGGAAAATATATTGAACTTTCTATGGGATTTACTACTGCTGCTGAGAATAATGGAATTATGATCGGAAGCGGAATCTTTATTCGTAGTCGATATGCCTGGAGTCGAGGTACGGAATACCTGTATGACCACAGTAGAGGAGACAAAACAAGTTTTAGGTTACAAGAGCAAAATTAATATTTTATTGTTCTTAAATGTTGAAAATCAAGAAAGGAGAAGTTACTCTTTATTGCAATCAAAAAATGTACTGGAAATATAGCTGTAATTTAGATGCGTGAACTTCAATATCGTGTCACTTTACACCCACGTTTAAAGTTATTTGAACAAATATTTATGCTTCATTCAAAACGAAAACTGAAATTGTTAAACAAATCTGAATCAAGACAACGATTCCATTATGCAGAATACCAAATCTTAATAAAACAAACACATTATATCAAATTATTGTGAAACATGATGAGACGGTTTTTGCAAAGAAAAAACCAATCGATCAATTTAAAGGAAACAAGAGAGAAATTGTAGTTACATAAAAATGTGAGTTTCTCAGCAAAACACTATCAGGAACAATCCCTTTTTTAATACGACTGTAAGAACTTTATATCCTTTGAAACAGAGAAACAACCCTCTACAATACCAGATAAATTCAAACTAATCTCACTGAAATAACAAAATTTATCAAACATTTAAACGATGCACAAATTATGGTAATACTAGCAATTGAATCCTTCAAAAATTAAACAACAAGGTGACCCTGCATTGACTGCCGTAATGTAGCACTGAGGATAAGTCACTTAGGTAAAGACTGAAAAACTGCCATTATTGTATTGTTCAACAACCCAGGAAGTATCCAGTTAATCAATACCTTTTGTAGTCGCAGACCAAAAATTTTACTTCTTGATTTTGGTAGGTTATTTGAGAAATTAATTTATGTACAGTTAAATGAGGCTATCAGAAATAAAGGCTATACCATAAACAATACAAATTCAGAAATAAATATTCAACAACGCAGATAAACATTTTGTCTTATAGAACGCGCGAATACATTTCAACACATATAATCAATATCCTTTTAAATTGTACGGCGTTTGACAAGCTGTGTAGCTCCAGGTATTTAATACAATACCACATCTACGTATATGATAACTTGATAAAACCCTTGCCAGTGTTCTTTCAGACCGACATTTATTCTGAGAATCAACTCTACGAACTCTAATCAATAACACCTTTGAGCAGATCTCCCTCAAGTCCGTAACTTTGTCTCACAGTATATCGTACTTTTATCGAATATCTTAAAGCCTCATGATTCAGAAATCGGTCTCTTCGCATGTTCAGAAGTATTCACATTAATGATTTATTTGCTTTGGCGACCGTCTGTTGAATGACATAAACACATTAATGCAAATTTTAGAAAACAAATTATTAAGATAAATTACAAAATCCGCCTATTTTACATTAGTATTGAACAATAGTGCCGATAACAAGCATCATTACTACAAGATAGTGACCAGATAATCTACAGTTTTCAATTATTTGTATCAGAATCTCCAGATACCTTTCTTTTCGAAATTGGTAGAAACTAACCCAAACCTAGATGGATATTTCAATATGTTTTCCAAACAATAAATTACAAGCACAATAAGTCATAAAAATAATAACAAATATAATAACATATCCTACTAGAATAATTTTAGAAATATCCACTACCATCATGAAAAATTAGCTTCACGTACGAAACAAAATCAAATGGAACGAATACTACTGATATTCCAGCAAAACAATAGGCTTCAAAGCAAGACAATTAGCACGCAAATGGGCAATCAAAAGTTATTATGAAATGTCGTTATCAATCCTGAAGAGCAGAGCGGCAAACGGGTGGAAATAAACTAAAAAATTTCAAACTCGAAGCGAGAATAACTTTTCATAGAAAAAAAAATTGAATAAAATTTAGTATTTCCATAACTTATAAAACTTCAAGGCGAAATCACCACATTTATTACAAATAAATACTATTTTAAGAACGCGCACTGAATAAAATTTCAATTCCAAAGTTATTTAAAATCCTAACACAGAGAACACGAACATACTGAATTTAAAAATCCGGCGGGGGTAATGCGCAGCTTTCGCTAGTAATTACGCTATTCCATGGAACAATAGATAACCGTGCACCGCGACATTCAGCTGACGGTCCCACAAAAGGCCGATCACACGGCCGACGGCAGTGCAATTGGCAATCAGCGGCGCGGCGACGCGAGGGCGCGGGAGCGGGGCAGGGGCGGTCGCACCGAGGTGCGAAACGCGGGACGAGGCGCAGCGGCTGCGGTCGCGCAGCGGTGGCGCACCGACGCCGGGCGCGCGCGCCGGTCGTCATCGGCGCGTGAACGTCACGGCTGGGTAATTGAGCCGGCAGACCGCCGTGCGCCGCCCGCCCGCCCCCGCCCCCCCTGCCTACGCCGCCGCTTCCGCCCACAGGCTCGTTGCGTCCCGCCTCGCCACGCCCCCCGCCAGCTCGGCGCGACTTCCGTGTCTCCCTCCGCACCACACACCCGGCCTCCTCGGACGGCGCTGCCTGCGTTAGACGAGGGCCAGGCGGCAGGGGTGGCGCAACCTCTTGGCTGACCCCGGAGCTCCGGTGCGACGAGTTGTGTTTCTTTCTGAACCACAATTTTTTGGGCTCGTTATGCCAAGGCGAGTTAGGCTTCACTAATGTGTGTTAAATTGCATTAGACGAAGGCCAGGGGGCAGGCGAAGCGCAAACTCTGACTAGACTTCGAAGCTCCGTTGCGACCATTTGTGTTTCTTTTTGAACCACAGTTTTTTGGCTCATTAGACCAATGTGCTGTAGACGGTCATTAGACGAACGCCAGGCGGCAGGGGTAGCGCAAACTCTTGACTGACTTTGGAGCTCCGGTGCGATCACTTGGGTTTCTTTCTGGACCACAATTTTTTGGTTAATCAGGGAATATATTTTGGTTTAGGACCTAGAGCCTACTTCTGCGTCTGCAATGGACAAACTTTAGGAGGCTGGGATGGAACAAACTCTGATCAGACTTCTCTCCTGCGTTATCAAATGTGCCGTTTCCTGCAACATTATTTTTGGATTATTAGGTCACAATTTTGCTTGTTCAGGATGTGACCATTGTCATTTGTGTACGAAGCCTGGAGGATTCTCCTCGTCTGTGTTCGACAAATGTCAGGCAGCAGGGTGGCGAACACTGTGATTTGTCTTTGGAGCTTTCACGTAAACAGCTGCGTAATTTTGTTTATGTTCTCTACCATTTTTGTCTTATTAGATTGAATAATTTGAAATTGGGTTACAATAAAGGCATTGGAGGTGCCTTGTACTTGCCTCTAGAAAATATCTGATTTCAGAATCATAGTGTTTCGAGGAAAATGTGACGGCATTTTGAAAGGTCGTGTTGTCAATTGTTGATTGTACTAATTTCAGAAACTAAACAAAAAAATTACTCTAAAAACAAAAAAAAAGAGAAAATGTTGACATAAATACAAGAACTGTTCACATATGTTTGAGGACAACGAAATATTCATTCTAGTTAAATATTGTTATTTTATGCAATAAATATCATGACGAATTGCTCATTTTAAGTTATATCACTTTCTCCCAATTTTCCAATTAACGCATATCTTTACTTTCTGTATTTCTTGTGACTGACACTGATATCTACATTAATTGCCTTTGGATAGTAATAATAATTCATCTCTTTTGCATAGGGATGCGACATCAATGTCGATATTTTTACAATCGATGTTTTTTAACATTGATGTATTAAACATCGATGTATTAACACCAATATTTTTTTAACGTCCATGTATTAACACCAATGTTTTTTAACATCGATGTATAAACATTGATGTTCTTAACATCGATGTTTTTAACATCAATGTTTTGTGATCGATAATTTTTCATTTCCGATGTGTTGTATAAGATTGAAAAATTTCAGTGAGCACAATTCTGTGGTAAAATATGAAATAATGTAAAATATAACATAATAACTGGTAATAACACTAATATTCGTGGGTTAGAACCAAAGGAACGCTTTTTCACTACCTTCATCAACCTAACTCTTTCGCCCGAGATGACCTCCATGCCCTTGTATTTGCTCTCTCTTTATATTCATTTCACACAACGAGATATGATCAACAAATACACTGTGGGCGCGGGGTCATCTTCTCGTACACCTATTCGGGGAATTGAGAAATACTAACCTCAAATTAAATTTTAATGCACACTAATTTAATGTAGAGGTTACTAATCCAGTCTAAAATATCAATGTTCAAAAACATCTATAGCTTTGGGTCGGTCTAATTTTAACATTGATGTGTTAATTTTGAACATAAATGTTTGCTGACATTGACGTTTTGTTATCGATGTCGCTTCATTACCGTGATGCTAAAGGTATCTTGCAGCTATTGCGTGACGATATTCATTCTCTTGGAACTCCTGGAGACTCGACACCTGGACTTTTGATGATATATTTTTTTGGACAACTAAATGTGCTTTAGTATTGTTTCCACCTAATAATTTCACAAGTATGTGTTCGATTTTGAAATTTATTTAAATTTTAATTTAGTTCATGATCAGTTTTGATTTAAATATTTTTCAAACCCTATTTTATCGTGATTCATCTGCAGAAATTTCATCACATATGATGCAACTCTTGTATTCTACTATATATGAAAATGTAGAGGTATCAGTGGTGCACTATTGTCCAACTATCCAGGTCAGTCAGTACTCTGAGTGGTTGCTTTTGGCATGGACTATCACCGTGAGGGTAGTGCCTGACGCACTCGTTATCCGAGAGAGAAAATCAATTGGGAAATGTTCAATCACCTTCGACGCTCGCGCCTATTGATTACGAGTCACGGAGCGTTCAAACGTGACTGTAATCAGGAGCGGCGGTGCTCTGTGATGATGGAGCACAAAAGGTTGTTGCAAGGTACTCCAAGTGCTTTGTAACGAGCTAGCTCTGAACTACGGGAGCAAACCAGACCACCAGGCACCGATGCAAGAGCTCGTAATGAATACAACAAAATTCTTTCTGATAGATTTCTTTATTACAGATGTACGGAAAGAAGTTTGTTGAACATTCCTGCACTTGGCTACAGTATAGGAAATTTATACAGCCAAAAATCACAATATAGCTCTTAATCACTTTAATGATTTTTAAACGTTTTACACTCCACATTCCAAACAGACCTATTTTATTACTTCTCGTCGATCGTAACCAACACAGAATACATTTATTTGGATAAAACAAAAGCAGAGAGACTCCGGAAAATGGTCTACATGACGGCCCGGGTGTTGCGTAAGCGAAGTAATCCACAAACCCAAAGCAACACGCAAAACGTTCATTCCAGGACGGCGTCATTGAGTTCCGTTAGGCGCCCTTCGCTCGCGCTCCATCTCGTGCCAATGCCCTGTCCTCCGTCGCGTGCAGCTTCAGCTCCACGCCGTGGCGCCTGCCTAGGCGGAGACATACGCAGCCCCTTTGCGAGTAGCACTCCGTCGACGGCGGCTTCCATCTCCGCTTTAGGAGCTCTGCCGCGTTAGGCCCTCATTACCCGTCTGGACTACGGGACGTCGCGCTGCCACCCACACTGCCCTGCTCTCACTCTCGCCTCTGCCGCCAAAGCTGCCTCAGCCGCCAAACCCTCCACCGTCGTTACGGCTTCCGCCCACGCCCCTGTCCTCGCCTCCGCTTTCGCCCTTTGTCTGCGCCCTCGCCTCCGCCCCCTCCCTCTCCTCTTTCCTCGCGTCCGTCCTCTCGCTCTCCTCGGTCCCTGCCTCCAACAATGTCTCCGATATCACCTCCGCCCTCACTTTAGCCCTCGCCCTTTCCCATTGCTCTCGCCTCCTCATCCGCCCTCACCCTCACCACGTCATCCGCCTCCGATCTCGTCTCCACGTCCAACCTCACCTCTGTCTTCGCCTCCGTCCTCGTCCTCGCCCTCGCCCTCTCCTCGTCCCCTGCCTCCGACTACGTCTCCGTCCTCACCTCTGCCCTCGCATTAGTCCTCGCCCTTTGCCTTTGCTCTCGCCTCCACCTCCGCTTTTACCGGTGCCTCGGCACCCGCCTCTGACCTCGTCTCTGCTCTCACCTCCGCCCTAGTCCCCACTTCTCTACTCTCGCCTTCGCCCTCGGTCTTTGTCTGCGCCCTCGTCTCCACCCCGCCCTCTCCTCTGTCCTCGTCTCTTCCTCGCCGTCGCCCTCGCCTTCACACCCGCCAATTCTCTGTCCTCACCTCCGTCCTCCCCTTGCCCTCCGACCAGTCTCCGTCCTCACTCTGCCCTCGCCCTCACCTCCACCTCCGCCTCACCCTCGCCTTGTCTCCCGCCTCCGACCTCGTCTTGCCTCGACTCCGCCTCACCTCTGTCCCACCTCCGCCCCGACCCCACCTCCCTCTTCCCTCCCCTGTCGCCTTCGCCTCCGATCTCGGCCACTGCTGCTGGCGCCTCTCCTCTTCGTTGCCGCCCACTCTCGCCACGCGTCGCACTGCGCGCCTTACGGCTCGCTGACACTGGCTCTCCAACTTTCGCAGTATAAAGTAAGCTGCTCGCAGAGTACAACGGGCTGACATTCAGCTACAGGGGCTCACTGTTTATTGTGTCTTCAGAATTAGTTACCCCGTTGTAGCTTTCAGTAAGTACGTTTAAGGGGGCAAAGAATTACAAGGCATCGTCGGGTCTCTAGAGAGTTTATATATCAGCACCCACTGAACAGCTTTCTGAAACGACTTACAATTGTTTAGTTATATTTTTAAAACTGCAATTAACCATGAAGGCCTTATATTTTCTTTAATGTATTTAGACAGTTTTCTTGTCACGTTTTTATGTGAACATACCAAACATCAAATGACTTTTGTTGAGATTTTCAAATGGAAATAGTTTTAGAAATTATTGTTACAATACTTAATATTACACAGAAATATATTTTAAAATTGCTTTTAAAAAAAGGTAAATTATTACATTTTATATATTACATACATTTTTATATACATATATTTATACATTTAATATTAAATACATTTTTAATATTAATATAATACGTAATGAATATATATATAATATTTTACAATGAAATTTTCTTCATGTTTTAATATTGAATACAATGAGAAAATATTTAAAAATAATTACTATTTCCATGAAATAAGATAATTATTTCAACCTAGTGCCAAGAACATAGCACAGTTTGTTTTGTATTATTTGTAACAGTAATTTTAATATTATATAGAAAATTATGTATTACTAATTTTCAGTAATATTTTGTTCTGTTGATTAATTTGCTTGAAACGTCGCTCGCTTAGTTAATTTACTAATATCTTCACAGATAAAGTTTATATGGAAAATAAATTTAATTGGTGTAATCTATGTCCTTAGCAAAGTTGATTTCCGGATCTATACATTAAAATGGCATTTTATCATCTTCCTCACCAATTCCTTACGATAAGCAAATACATATCGTATATTATACGTTTACTCATGTGAAGTAGTAGGATATTTTACTCTAAAACTGCGTGCGTTCGCGGTAGTACTTTCTCGTAAGCTCTATTATCAAATATGTCCACGGAATCCATCCGCCTTCCACTTCAACCACATCCACATCCACGTGGATTCACCAATCACATCAACACCGAGTTATGCCTGTCTCAATCCCCACCGCCACGGCCACTTACAACTCCGCGACCGCAAACTACTCCACCGACACCGCGACTCCACCATCATTGCCGTCACTGTCACGTCAACGCCACTGCTGGAGCCACCTCTGGCATCGCCATCGCCACAATTACAGACTCACCACCGCCGCCACCCCGCCCTCCTCGCCGCCCGTCTACTCCACTGGCGCCGGCGCCGCTCGCCGTCATCGCGTGCGCTATGGACCATTTTTAGCGAGCCCATTAATATTTGCAGCCGAGCAGCCCTCCATGAATATGCAGCGCGCGAATCCGAGCGGCGCGGCGCGGTTGAGCCGGACTGGCCGAAAGGAAGCGGGAGAGGCACTGGAAGAGCGACGAGAGGCGGGGCTGGACGAAGCGAAGCGGGGACGGGGAGAGACGGAAAAGGGTGGAGGGAGCTGGGCGTGACGGTGAGAGAGGGGCGGAATGGAGTCGGGGAAGCTGGATGAGGCGGAGTGAAGCGGGCAGAGGGCGGGGAACGGAAAGTAAGCAGAGCGCAAACCCGAACGATGGAGATAGTTCGGCCGAGTAGGTGGCCGGGAGTAGCAGAGGCGGGTTGCGTGAGACAGATGAAGACATAGGAAAGTGGCGGAAAAGGCGATGGTCATAGAAAGTCGTCGTGCGAAACAGGGATTACATGTTAATGTAATGCTTATAACTACACATTTGTGTGAGGACTCAGTAGCTTTGAGACGGAGTACGGATGGGCAAGGCTTTTACAGATTTGTCATTTCTTAACAGTTAACGTTTCATAACTGTGACGCGAAATAACAGTTATTTCGTGCATCCTGTTATTGGCTCTTTCGATTGAAATTTGTAGTATATCAATCTATTCATCCGCCTTTTGCAGTAACCATTTTGAACGATAACAGTTTAACTGCAACTAATCAGTCGTGATTATCGAGAGTTCAAAGATAGATTCATTAACAAATAATTCATTATTACACACCATGTTCCACAATATTTTTATATTTTATTGTATAGACTACAATAAAAAGTTTTCTCTATAAATTAAATCCGTCCAATATGTTTATTAGCTTCTTTGTGTCCCATTGATGCTTATGTGTGATTCACTAATATTTCTCCGGTAAAAGAAAATGATTTACGATAAAATAACTGACATTTTTTTGACACTCAACACTCATTACCACTTGTCCAGATATCTTGTCAATGATGATCTCCTACAGCTTGGGCTAATTTAGAAAATTCCTGCCACTTTAGCTCAGGTAACAACGCAAAGTTGTAAAGGAATTATTCCATTACCTTAACCTTCTAAAACTTCTTCCATCCCGTTCATTACGCTTTTTAAGTGCTCCCTGTCCTTTTCGCGGATCCGTATATACATAACGTGATGCTGTATATATCACGTGATAGACATTACTTTCTAGGACTAAGGCCTAAAAATTTAAATATAGACTAAAATATGTCTCATTCTTTTAAGAGATTTTAGAGAAAGAAAGTTTCATAACCTTTCATTTTCATTCTCAAAACAGAGTTAATAAAGTTTCGGAGGGTAGTGATGATATCACTTTAGGATACACGGCTTTCTGAGACAGACGTAAATGTCGCGAGGTTAATAGATATCTGCTAGAAATCGGATCAAAAGATTACGTGCGTAAGAGCACAAAGGGGCATCGGGTGCACGGGACCGGCCGCTCCGCCGGGCAGCGCCGCCCGAAAGGAAGTTAGCGGAGCGGAGAGCCGCTGCCGCCGCCCGGCGCTCGTTAAGCGACGCGCTCGCCCTGCAAGAATCCAATTCCCCAGGATGCAATATTGACGAGCGGCCGAGGTTTGGGGCCGAGGGGGGCGCTGGCCGGCGGAGGCGGACGCCATGCTGGCGGTAGGCGTTGATCGCCCGTGCATTATGCAACCCGCGAGGCACCGCCCGGAACTCCCTCCTTACTGGCAAACAGCCCGTCTGCTCCGCCTTCCTGCGCGGTTTTGCCTCCGCCGTCGCCGCCGCCTCCGTACTAAAGGTCACCCCCGCCGTCGGAGAGCACTAGCCCACCAGACCCCGAAACATTGGCGTTCTCGCCTGCAGAACCGCCCTCGCCTTACAAGCCAACTCCTGCGATTGTAGAGACGGCCATCATGTTTTCCGTCTCGACGTCACAACCGCGGCATCCATCTCCGCCACGGACAGAGCGGCCTTCACACCGCAGACGATTGTATTAAAGGCTGTCGGACGCGGCGGACGGCCCGCCGAGCCGGGCGCTCCCTGGAAGCGCCATCATAGGCCTCCGCTTCCGTTTAAACAAGTCCAATTAGTTTCTGATTTTGTGGGAATTGGCCGCGCGCTCCCGGGCGCAGCGAGGTGCGCCGATTCGGCGCGGCGCGAGGACGTCACAAGCGACGCCCCGCCTCCGCTACCACCGACGCCCTCCCTTCCCTCCGCCTTTCCTAGCTTACTACCGCGATTTCTGGTGTCACGATATCCATCACTCCAACACCCCCAACATATTCGTGTGCTTCTGATAGAATTCCATCCGAGTTCGTACTGCCTCTGCCACCCCATTCTCGCCGTCGCGGCCGTTTCCACCTCCCGTGCCAGCGCCGCCCCCGGCGCCCCCGCCGTCGCTCGCTCGCGCGCGCAGCTTTGGCGCCGGCGACGGCGGCGCGACCGGGCTCGCGGCAAACAGCGGCGGAGCCCCAGTAAATTAGCAATTAGTCGTCGCGCCCGGCTTCTGCAATTATCGAAGACGGCGCGGCAGTCGGCAGTAGGCTGCCTCTTGGGCGGGGCAGGGGGCGAAGGGGACGGTGACGGCGCGGGGAATGGAGAGAGGAGGGAGTCACGAACGCGAGGGGCGTGGCCTGAAATGGCGGGTGAGGCACGGACGGCCAGGAGGAAGAGGGAGTGGGACGAAGGGCGTGATGTGGAGCGCTTGGGGAGAGAAAGAAATGAAGTGTGTGGTACACAGAGGGATTGAAGAGAATGAGGAGACACTAAACAGTAAAGGGGGAAATGGCAGGAAATGATGTCGGTAAGGTTCTAACAAACTGTATGTGAATTGGTACGGGAAAGAAACTGTTCGAAATGGACAGTTTGTCAGTCGAGAGCCGCGAAAGTTAGACGGCGTGAGTTGTGTGTGGGGTACAAACTGAGGTATGTGTGGTTCGCGTGGCCTCATCGAGAAAATTAGGAGGAAGCGGGCGCAAGCAATGCGATTGAAGACTGGAGATGGAGGAGGCATCATTGTAGTAAGGTAAGGTGCGTTCGCGGCTGGGGATGCCGATGAAGGATCAGGGGAGGGCTTCAAAGGGGAATTGGGAACGGATTGTGGTAGTAGCTGTGGATTCGAGATTGCTAGCAGGAGGTCAGGCAGGGCAGGAGAGGAATTACTCTGGGGCTCAGAAGAAACTTCTGAAAGAGTGGAAGTGAAAGGATTGTTAGGGAGGAAAGTTAGGGCAGCGAACGAGGCGGTGGTATGAAAGAAGCATAAAAACGACAGGACTGCACACTGTTTAGAGTGTTCTCAAAGCGAAAGAGAACAAAACGAGGGTATACTATCCGAGATTGAGGGGTTCTGAAAGTTCAATGGAATGTCATCTAAAAAGAAGATGCCTGGAAATGAGAAAATACTGACTGGAAGCGCGATACCAAATAACAACAGGGTTTACGAAAGAACGTGGAAGAATGACATGTTCCTATAAGAGAAATGATAGAATAATAAAGAATTTAGATAGGGCAATGGGAAAGAATGTGTAGTGAATAATATAGTAAAATTTAAGAATTTTGAGGAAGACAATTGCTGCATATGAAGTAATTACATGCCAGTAGGAATGTCGTAAAAGTGTGTGGAATTTTATGCAAGGGAAAAACGACTGTAGTAGTGGATGTGATGGTAGTGGTGGATGGGATGGTAGTGGTGGATGTAGTGGTAGTGTGATGGTAGTGGTAGAAGGAG